TTAATGTTAATAAATGGAACAATAGAAGTAGCTAACGATAATGGTAAAGAAAAAGAGAGATCGCATATGTAAGTGCGCATGCGCACACGTGAAAACATATCGTCATTACTTTACATAAGAATATGAAAGCAACACTTATTTACTGTTCATATATATTTTAATTAATGTTTCTGAATTTGTTTTTATTGAATTAATGTACGTGTGTGCAAAATTAACAATACAATTTATTAATAATACGTGGAATATTAGAGGAGACGAGACGGCTGCCGGCATTGTTTATGTTAAAGCTTACGAAACCAGTGACTGATTGGTTCTACATATAAAACTGAAGAAAATAAGACCCTGAGTTTAGCTGTAGTAAAATTAATGTAAAAAATGAATATGGTTGCTTGAAGTACCTGTAATGTTATTTAATGTTAATAAATGGAACAATATAAGTAGCTAACCATTAATGGTAAAAAAAAAAGTGAGACTGCTCGTATGTAAGTGCGCACATGTGAAAATATATCGTCATTACTCTACATAAGAATATGAAAGCAACACTTATTTACTGCTCATATATATTGAAGGGTTAAATGTTGTACTCTGTATAGACAAGCAGAGAGAGAGAGAGAGAGCAGCCGAACTGCCGGATGTAAACAAACCTTAATTTCCCGCGGCTTTTTTTTTTAAGGGGATTAGCCCACCCGGGCATAGGTCACTGACCCACATTGGGGCCTGAGGGGCAAAAATTTAATACTCCTGTAATAATAATAATAATTCAGATAGGTAAAAAAAAAAAAACTGCCTATCTACCAATTGGACAAAGTAAAATCGTTCCGGACCACGCGAGTTTTCGGACCACAGAATGCCGGACTAAAGAGGTACAACCTGTATTGTTAATTTTGCACACAAACATTAATTTAATAAAAACAAATTCAGAAACATTAATTAAAATACATATGAACAGTAAATAAGTGTTGCTTTCATATTCTTATGTAGTGTAATGACGATATGTTTTCACGTGTGCGGACTTACATACTCGATCTCTTTTTTTCTTTACCATTATCGTTAGCTACTTCAATTGTTCCATTTATTAACATTAAATAACATTACTTAAAACAACCATATTAATTTTACTACAACTACAATCAGGGTCTTATTTTCTTCAGTTTTATATGTAGAATCACTGTCACTGGTTTTGTAATCAACGAAAACAATGCTGTCTCATTTCCTCGTGTGTTTTAATATTCTACGTATTATTAATGAATTGTATTGCTCATTTTGCACACATAAACATTAATTCAATAAAAAAGACATTCAGTAATAAACAATAATGGATCTTTTGTACATATGAGAAATGACGCTGTTTACACGATTGTGCACGTTGTCTGAACGTTGGTGGGCCGTTCAAACCCGTCGAAATTCGAGTTTCCGCCGTCAAAATTTTTATTTATTTTTTTGTGTTCCAATAAAATACGCTAAGAATTAAAAACTCGCGAAATTTGAGAAGCTACTATACGACATTTAACCCTTCAATATGTGTTCAAAGAGACCATGATGCAGAGAAAGTGGTGCTAGTGCTTCCAAGCCTAAGCACAAGTCACTATCTATTCAGGAAAAGGGTGAATTTCCATGGTCCGGCAATTTCCATGGTCCGGCACCGGTCAGGTCCCGAGGTTGCCGGACTAGAGAGGTACAAGCTGTACTTGATGCAGGATAAGCAGCGTGTGATCAAGTTACTTAAAGGCCTAAAAACTAGCGTCCGGAAAGCACAATCAGGTCAATAAAGACGGAATTTGTATAATTTGGAGGTTATAAACGGGAAAATCAGAGGTTGATGTAGAGTGGCCAGTCTATACAGGTAGTTCTGCTATAACGCGATAATTGTGTTCTTGTAAAACATCGTGTTATAGAAAATCGCGTAATAGAAATAACGGCTTATGGAGAAAATAGGGTTAGGTGCAGATTACTCGAAATCGAAAAAATTTAGTAGTTAGCCTAACACAAAGGATAGCACAGTCTAAATAAATGTTACATTCATATCTAATAATGAAATCGTACAGTAAATGTAACACTTTACTTGATGGGGGAGAAGGGTGATTTTGAGGTTGATAAAATCGAGCTTCTCTTCAAGTGTTATATCCTTTCTTTTACGATCATCACCGGGAATTCTATCACCAGAACACTTCTTGTTGATATTCTTCTTTACTATATTCACAGTTAATACAGTGGGGTATGCTATAACGAACAGATCCTACTACGAATATTCCTATAACGAACGGTTTTACCTATAAAATTGAGAATGCTATAACGAACGAAACTCCTACAACGAACATTATTTAAATTTTTTTTTTTTTTCTAATTTATTGTTTTTTTATTACAAATATTAATGATATTCTTTATTTCAGGGGTTTAGATGCATATTTATGCACTTTTTTACAATTTTTACAATTTTATATTATATTTTTCAGTGTTAAGTGGTTGTATTTGGGGGCCTGGAACGGATTAATCCTATAACGAACGAATGCTATAACGAACAAGGTTCTAGAACCAATTAGATTCGTTATAGCATACCCCACTGTACCACAAAATTGGAGAAATAGTAAGCAAAAATCGCGTTATAGCAAACAAGCGTTCGCGTTATACAAATATCGTTCCTAATTCATAAATCGCGTTAGAGCAAATTCGCGTTATCAAAACACGCATTATAGCAGAACTCACTGTATTGTTATTTTTCCCATTAATTTATATATTTGCATTTGGCGCAATTTTTCCAGTCTATATTACTCGTGAAATACAAGATCTTACTGTACAAAACACTACAATAATATGTATTAAGTTCTGATAAAAAGCTACAATATTGTTTACAAAGTGCTCAAGATAGATCCTGTGGTAAGTTCCAACCCTTTTGAGCAATGACAACAATGGTGCTCGAGATATATTAAGTGCTAGCAACACTGTTAGTGAGAGCTGGTCAGCAGGACCGATCAGCTGTTACTTCTCTGTATACAAGAGAATGAGAATATACGTACTACAGTGCAATTGCTCGTGTGGGACCGAGTGGGATTTTTGGGGGGAAAATTATTTTTATAATGTTTTGTTAACCTGGCACCAAATGAACCGAAATAATATGGGAATTATGGTGAATTGCATACTGTCATTATAAAGGGATGGCGATTTCCCTGTTCCATCGCCTCTTTTAAAATACAGCCACTCCCTGACTTTCGACTTACGACCACCCGGACATACGACCGCCTCAGTCGTACCAAAATTTTGTCAAATTAAGTATTTTCGAGTCCCAACATCGGTGATTGTGCTGTGTTCTGACAAAATTTTCGTTTATAATTCACTTTAAAATGGCTGGCAAGCTTAAAAGTGAGAGTTTTGTGGTGCTGAGAAGAAAGAGACCCCCATTTTAGATTTTCTATATGTTATTTAAGCATTTTCGACTTCCGACCACTTTGACTTATGACATGGATTTGGGTTCCTAACCCCGTCGTAAGTCGGGGAGCAGCTGTACATACTATAATGATAAGAATATCTGTGGAAAAATGAATGAAATCGAAGAACTTCTGGTGGTAGCGTTATTTTCAGAAAATGACAAAGTTTTAGTAGAGCCTCGCAGATAGCTAAATTTCGATCACGAATCTTGAATAAAGACTCGCTCATAATTTTTAGTGAGCAAGTGAATTCACAAATACGAGTTTGTGAATAAAGGGAGTATGTTTAAGTGTAATTCATGTACTATTCCTATAATTCATTCTTAATCTATTTAATAATATATTCCAAAAATAAGCGACTTTTCGGAACGTGGTTATTTCAGATTCCTTCCGAATTTAAATCTTTAATTAATTTTTGAAAACCATGTGAATTGAACCAAAATCCACATTATAATGATGCAAATTAACGAGGGCACTGTGTATGATACTATCTTGGCCCCGCCCCCCCCCCCACCTCCTGGTAGTTATAGTACAGTACAATAGTGGTCAAAATGTATTTATTGTTTGCAGTTGTACTATCCATAAAAAGAATATGCAGGTCTCTGGTCTTGTAACACAAAGTATGAAAGAAGGAAAAAATAAATTATCTTTGGCTAACTTTACTTCTCAAATGTTTAATATGTAATATCTTGTCTCCTAAAGTTTAATGCACGTCTGGAACTCGTTAATCATCCTTTATTGTGCATGAAAATTTAATAAATTATTTGTTTGCAGATCTTGCAAAAAGTATTTCTTGGAGAACATTGAAGTGGTTGAACCTTCTTCATATACATCTGATCAGATTTTTTTTCTGCAATAGATCAGTTGTTGTGCACTATTGGCAAGTCATGATCATGCATGGGCTTAAAGTTTACAGATACAACTCTCACAATATTTTATGGCAGGTTAGGTTAGGTTAGGTTAGGTTTGAGTATCATTACCTAGAATGGGAATTAGGAGGAAAGATAGGATGGTGAATGAAGATGTAGAAGAATTTAAGATTTGAAAAAAGTTCTGGAGTTTTGAAGGGATGCAAACACGTTCAGGTGAGTTGGGAATATGGAGTTTGTGGTAGGCAGGATATGGGCAAGGAAGATGATTTGTAGCCTAGCTGGTTGAAGAGTCGAAGGAAGACATGAAAGAAATGGACATGTGAATTAATGAGGTAAAGTGGTGTTGTGTTGGATAATACAAGATTGTGGTTTATGTGTAGAATACTTTTTATTTCATAATGTTCATATGAATGAAATAGACACGAAGAATTGAAATGAAACATTATGATGGTAATGAAGATTCAGGATCCACTTTGTGTACTTTCTTCAGTACAGTATTTCCAGTGTTCCTTTCATTCATTACACGTCATGGATCATCCCTTACCATTTCTTCCTTTTCTTGAGGTTTCCATTTTTCTTTGTTCCATCTCATGCACGAAGAAATTTATGATGTATATGTAGATAGAATTGGTAATTTTTTTTTTTACTCTTTTTAATGAAAAAAAAAAAACAATCCCCATTTAATTACTTGTATGAATTCCCTCAGACTGGAGATGAGATGAGCAAGCGATCAAAATTCCTGTTGGTAACCTGGGTAGGAACTGAGGTATCTCCAATAAAGAAAGCCAAGATGTCAACAGACAAGGCTCTTGTGAAAGAGATTTTGTCGGTAAGTATCACTGAGGGTAAATGGACGGATTCAAAACTCACTACTGGTGTCAATTCCAATACCTGCAGTCAAACATTTGTCAGTCCTTGGAAATAGTTTAGATGTTATGTACTGTATAAAATATACTATAATTGCATTCTCCTTGGGAAAAGATTGAAGATGGTATCCTGGACAATAAGAAAAAATAAAGGGTCTACAAAAGAAAAGTGGGATTTAACAGCAATTGTCTCTTCGAGATGAGTAGTGGTCCAGTGAAGTTCAGATAGAAGCATATGAATTATATAATTTACTGCTCTTCATAAGAATATTTTATAACCTGGTGATGTACAAATGGTCCTGCATTACACACAGACCAGCTGATTGATCACAGCTGTTAGACTATTTGATGTAGTGTTATTTCCATCATATTGTACCCTGCATATCTGAACCCTATAAACCTATAAGAAAAGTAATTGCAAATGATTTGGATGTTGACTTTCAAGAGAGAAACATGACCTTGATGGCTTCCCCATTATGAAAAATCCATTCTGACTTCCTTTAGTCATGCCATTGCTATCCATTTTGTCAGCCTTGCTTTCTATGGCTCTGATGATGTCCAATTGTTGTGAACTTTTTAGTAAAAACTTTAGTTTTAGGCCCCTTATCTTTATTTTGGTATATGCTAATCCACATCACAAAGACCAGCTTTTAAAAGCGAGACATTGTAAGAGGATGGAAATACAGTAGAAGACAAAATATTCCACAGTTTGGTTGCGAGAGTAGAGGAGCCACTATAACGGGTTATTCTAGTGTGCCCGACATCCACACAGAAACAGAGGGCACCACGGGCAAGATGAGTGTTATGAGCCCACGGCCTTGTCGGCGGTACACAAGATGCCAAACCCACCAAACATTCCCCATTAAAGTACCTGTAAAAGAGAGCGAAGCAACATTGCAGCAAAGAGAAAGGGAGGACAGATTATAGACTTGAGGAGGAGAGTTGATAAGATGAAATGCCTTTGATTCCACCCTATCTAATAGTTTTCCCCCAAACGAGTGTTTCATATACATTCAACTATTCCCAACTTAATTTCTTGCATTCGCCCAATCCTTTGTTAAATGGAAATTCTCAACACTTGTCAGTGTCAAGAGTTGAACTTCATGATATTTTTTTTCACACAAATTTTTGTTGTTTCACATTGAGAATTTACTGTATACTGGCTTAGAAGACTTCGCTTTAAACTGATAACTTGGGATGCAGCAGCCAATTGGATACAGGACTCTCCTCCTGTCCAAAAGGTTGTAGGTTACCTAACTTTACAAGTGGTGAAGGTGGTTGAGTGCAGCACCAACCACACTGCCTTCCATTATGCTTGTGGAACCCACTTTCAAAAGATGATTTGTCAAACAATGCCAGATTTCATACCTATCCAACTAATAACCAGATGAGATCTAAATTATGATGAATGGTGGGTTTTTAGTGGGAATTTGCATCCCCTTTCCTCCTTTGTCATTGGAGCAATATTCTTACACATCAGACTGGGAGGGCTTGCCATCTATTTGATGCTTGTCAGTGTGTATGGTAACAAAGTTAACTGGAAGCTTGTTTCAGGAAAGTTTATATTAGTAATTTAATGTTTGGGGTCTTAAGTTTTGAGACATCTCCTTGCCAAGGAAATTGTAGGTAATCCAGAACAATCCTGAAGGGAAGTGAAGAACTTCATGTGGAGTCCCTAGATAGTCATCACCGTTTCCTCTCCACGAATTGGAAGTATTCCTGAAGAGTTTTACACATTCCAAAATGTATGAAAAAACCTATTTAATGATAGGCAAGAATTATATAACGAGATGTTTTAATGGGTAAAAATTTGGCCAAGAGACATGATAAAAACTACTCAAAACTGTACCAAGCTATTTATTAATTATTTTATGCCATTAAAATTAATGCATACTGTATGTCTATGCACACCCCCCTGTATCACACCATTTGTAACTGGTACACATGAGTTCATGCCATTGTTTGCAATTGCAAAGAAAATCACAGTCCATGCCAGGACATTCACCTGAATTCCCTGTCCTCCTGATATAATTTTAAGCACTTTGTCAAATGCTTTGATAAAGTAGAGGTATAATTTAATTAGCCTCCCTGACAAGGGTGTCCCTCGCTGCAATTTTACACGTGGATTCAGATCTTGATGAGAGAAGGAAATGAGTGAACTGCATAGAGCTGTGAATTCTTTCAAGATTAATTAACTTCTAAGCATTGCGATTAAAAATTTTTTAATGGTGTCTTGTGCTTTAACCTACAAGACCATTCACACAACTTCAGATTACAAACAAAGGATCAATCCTGAAACCCCAAGGTTCAGGAATGGAAAAGGTGAAGTCAACTAAAGGCCAATCCTCACTGTGATTGATTTGATTTTGTGGAACAGAGGATGGATTTTTTATTAAGGGAGATTAAAAGTTGCTGTAATTTATTTTGCCTTAAATAGAAAAGTATGTCAGTCAGAAGCCCTTTACTTGCAGAATTGTAGGGCTATGGAATAATGACATCAAACATTAAAGTTGCTGTGATCAATTATGATGTGGAGATGTTACATTCTAGTTTGTATAATGCAAGAGCATTCAATTGTCCATGATCATAAAATTGGACTTTGAGGGTCAATCACTTATTTTGTGTAAATCCTTTTTTCTTGAAGTGGATAAAAATCAGTGATACTGCATTTCATTTGTACAATTATTGAGGATCCAAATATAATGGGGCAAATGTGCTGTAATGCTACAGTATGTTGAAATAAAATGTATGTCAACTTGTTTTAAATGTAAACATACCATAACATATTTTGGAGCATTATTGTATTTTAGAGTGCAGTAGCTAATTAAATATTTAGGACATGAAATTTTAATTTCAAAATGTTGTTTTCCAACAGAATTTTGCAGTGGAGCTGACATTGGAAAGCTCCAATGAGCTGGATCACGAAGCCTTCCTCCAGGAACTAAGGAAGGCTGGAGGTGCAAATTATGGCACTGGTATCCGTGACTAGATAATGAGGCTTTTGTAAGATAAGGATTTTGTTAGTTACTGTCTTGCATATGGCATGACTTGGAGACTGAAGTTTGGTACTTTTACGACTCCCCAAGTCCATTTCAATTTTCTGAAAAAAAAAAAACATTTCATACAAAACCTTTTAATCTTTAAAAAAATTATAAAATTAGCATCAAACATCATTTAACTGTCATTAATCACATCACACTTGCAGGTACAGCCTATAGTCATTTACTGTTTTTTGCAACTAACACTGCTTATGTATTCATGGACACAATTGGATTGGATCTAACATTTTTTTTTTGCTTGATAAAGAAGACACAGTTGGTTCTTTTCATCTGCTACATTGTGTGTAAATGATTGATCATATCAAATTATATCCAGAATATGGGAGATATGCCAATAGACTGCACACAACTACAATAAAAGTAAACTTAAATTAAATGTCTAGAACACTTAAGGTGTATGTATTAGAATTTTCCCCATCTTGTTAAGTCCTGGTGCTCATGCTACAAGCACTATCTTGACTGAAATTTTCTGGAACATAAGTTGAAGCTTGGAGGCATTGAATATTAATACACAATTAGATAGGATTTATTTATTTTTTTTTTTACTTTTTTGTAGGCTATGCATTATCCTGGATCAGGTTCTGTATTTGTCATACAGTAGAATAAAGATAAAGAAGTACTTTTGATTGATTACCCAATGCATAGATAATTATTGATTGTACTGTACAGTATATTGCTGTCTATCAGGGATGTGCTTGCAACTTCTTGGAAACCGTAGTGCTACCGCTCCTGTTCTTTTATCAAAATGTAGCACCACTACCATTACATCTATTCATTTGAAAAAGTAGCAACCTACACCATCACCACTACCACTACTTTTGGATGTCTTTTAAATTAAACATAGAACATTTATTTGAGGAATGTTTGACAACAGGGCGATGAAGTTCACAATGCAAAGTCTTTTTCTACAACTGAGAAGTACTTTACATTGTACTCACTGATGCATGGCCACAATACAGTGTCTCCTTGTCCTTCAATATTGTGCACAGTGTTTACCTTCATCAGCTGAAGGTACTTGACCGGATTACTGTACTTTCGCCTGATGTCTACTTGTACAATGTACCAGACCGAGGACACTACTTGTCATGTACTGTCCTAGGTTTTGGATCACTTGGTTCCATGATGACTATAAATCAAAAACTGTCTGAAAACTAAGTAACTCGAGGTAAAAGCCACAACAAGCGGCCATACATCAGTGCATCACTACATCCACTGAGCCACTGCTGAGTTTAAAGTCCACCTTGCTCGGTTGTAGTACTAATAAGTAACCCCCGAGTTACGTTCCTGAAAAACCCATTGCTAGGTGAAATATCGTAAATAGGGAGAATTATAACATGGGGTTCAATGGGATACGTTCCATCCAGTCCCCAAACATACACATGTACCACTGACAAAAAAATTAACAACAATACTACTTTCAGTACAAAACCAGTAAACAACACTTGCTACATCATAATGGATAAGCCTTATCACATGTCCCCTTCAAGGCTAAGGGGACTCCTGGAGTGGAGAGGTCACTCTGATTCTCACACAGGATCTGGGGAGTCTTGTGCTGCTTAACAATTTCAAGCTTCACCTCAGAGACATGGTTGTCTTGGATGCCTTGACTTTCCAAGACATTTTCATAGTTGCACTGCTTTTTTCAGTCGCAAACACTTGTCACAAAAACGGTGAACGATAACAAAAACAATGATAGTGGCCGACACTGCTCACATTTTCAAAACCATCACAAAGTCACAGAAAATATCACTTCAGTCACCATAACAGTTCATTCTAAATGTTAGTTTGGTCCTCACTATATAAGAAAAAACTGACAAGTACGATGCTGGCTGATAATTGTGGAGCCATACGATGGTGGATGTATGATCGACAAAACTAAGGGGAGGGCTGTAGTGCGCAGGTTGGCCGTGCACCGGTGGTGGGTAGGCTGACAAGTGTTGGTAGAGATGCCTGGTTAAAAATGGTTTCCTTATCAAATGCCACTGACTTGACATAGAAAAATATTACTTGCATTGCTGCAATTCTTGCAAGATTGTGATAAATTTGAGGAAACAACCTATGGTTTGCACGAGAGAAAAAATCAGACAATAGATATTGATGGCTATTCGATAGCTATCATTAAAGCGAGTCATAGTGATCGTATATGGGGAGATGGTGTTAATTTATAACCATCGTAAAAGTGAAATATAAATTTTTGTGGTTTACTTGTACTTTATAAATATTTTATATAAAAAATAAATATTTCATCAATAATAATAATGTGCATTGTACAGTAATTATTATTAAGTCCCTTTGCCAATATCAACTTCTTGACTAGCTAGCCTTAATATATATCATTACTGTACTACCACTTGTAAGTTAACCATCTTTGTCCAGTTAATGTTGGTAAGGTTCTCATTGGATAACCCCTTTCTTACATCCAACCCAAGGAAAGAACCCTGGTTACATTAGTAAGAAACAAGCACACTACTGCTGTCCCAACATTGATTATAGTCTTATCTTCAGTATGTGCAAATTTTAACGCCTCACAAAGTGTACAGAACTATTTTTTTTTTAAATAGTTTGGACTTGCCAAATTAACAATAAATACATATACCGGTACTCCTGTACTGTACAGTAGGGTCCGGATATATTGCGACTTTTTATAACGATTTTTTATATCGCGACTAACCCTAGTTAATTTAGGATCCAATTTAATTTACGTCCTTATCTCATTCGTATTTACGACCAAAATATAATAAAAATAAAATAGTTACATTTTCAAATAAATAATAACTAAATCTCTATGTATTACCCTGTATAAAAGAAATTACTGTAAAAAAAATGAAGAGCACCTTGCGCAAAGAAGCTGCCTGGCTAATGAGTGGCAAACAACAGTCGGAGCTTGGCGGGCCTTATGTTTTCACACATCTGGAATAGGAGAAAAACTTTCTCAGGTTTCTTACAGCATTTATGCATCCCCATTCAACATGAGCAAAAGAGCAAGTGATGGTACTGTTGGTTCAAAAGCTAATAGAAAATGTATAAGCTTAGCCAAGAAACTAGATGTGTTAAAACGATATGAAAAAGGTGAGAGGTCTGTGGATATTATATGGAGCAAGCAATGAACATATTTTCTGAAGTGGATCCATTAACAGAACAAAGCATTAAAATATAAATAAATGCAAATGACCTCTACATAAAGATGTATAATGAGAGAAGAAAGCAGCTGTGTAAGGTTCTTTTGAGAGCTTTATTATTCGAAGGCCTAAACCATCAACTTCAGCTACATCATCAAATTCAGCATCATATGCAGCTTCAACATCAACTTCAGGTTCAGTAACAGCTTTATGGAAAGCTACAGCTTCAGCCAGAGTTGAACCTGATGACTTCGTCATCTGAGTAAAAACTCGCACAATATTCATTGGCTGTCCTATTGTTTTAGACTTTACCATCATTGGTGAGCAGAATTTTTGTTTTACATTCGTAAATATTATTTAAAACATATACAGGTTGTACCTCCCTAGTCCGGCATTCTGTGGTCCGGAACGATTTTAGTTTGTCCAATAGGTAGATAGGCAGCTTTTTTTTTTTACTTATCTGAATTATTATTAATATTACAGGAGTATTAAATTTTTGCCCCTGAGGCCCCAATGTGGGTCAGTGACCTATGCCCGGGTGGGCTAATCCCCTTACAAAAAAAAAAGCCGCGGGAAATTAAGGTTTGTTTACATCCGGCAGTTCGGCTGCTCTCTCTCTCTCTCTCTGCTTGTCTATACAGAGTACAACATTTAACCCTTCAATATATATGAGCAGTAAATAAGTGTTGCTTTCAAATTCTTATGTAGAGTAATGACGATATGTTTTCACATGTGCGCACTTACATACGAGCAGTCTCACTTTTTTTTTTACCATTAATGGTTAGCTACTTATATTGTTCCATTTATTAACATTAAATAACATTACAGCTACTTCAAACAACCACATTAATTTTTTTACATTAATTTTACTACAGCTAAAATCAGGGTTTTATTTTCTTCAGTTTTATATGTAGAACCAATCAGTCACTGGTTTCGTAAGCTTTAACATAAACAATGCCAGCAGCCGTCTCGTCTCCTCATTATTAATAAATTGTATTGTTAATTTTGCACACACAAACATTAATTCAATAAAAACAAATTCAGAAACATTAATTGAAATATATATGAACAGTAAATAAGTGTTGCTTTCATATTCTTATGTAAAGTAATGACGATATGTTTTCACGTGTGCTCATGCGCACTTACATACGCGATCTCTCTTTTTTCTTTACCATTATCGTTAGCTACTTCTATTGTTCCATTTATTAACATTAAATAACATTACTTAAAACAACCATATTAATTTTACTACAGCTACAACCAAGGTCTTATTTTCTTCAGTTTTAATCAACGAAAACAATGCTGTGTAATTTCCTCGTGTGTTTTAATATTCTACGATATTAATGAATTGTATTGCTCATTTTGCACACGTAAACTTTAATTCAATAAAAACGACATTCAGTAATAAACAATAATGAATCTTTTGTACATAAGAGAAATGACGCTGTTTACACGATTATGCACGCTGCCTGCACGCTGGCGGCCGCTCAAACCCGATAAATCAAGTTTCGCTGTCAAAATTTGTATTTATTTTTGTGTTCCAATAAAATACGTTAAGAATTAAAAACTCAAAATTTGAGAAGCTACTATACGACATTTAACCCTTCAAAGACCATGATGCAGAGAAAGTGTTGCTAGTGCTTCCAAGCATAAGCACAAGTCACTATCTATCCAGGAAAAGGGTGAATTTCCATGGTCCGCACCATGGTCCGGCACTGGTCAGGTCCTGAGGTTGCCGGACTAGAGGTACAACCTGTATGAACAGTAAATAAGTGTTGCTTTCATATTCATATGTAGAGAAATGACGATATGTTTTCACTTAACGCACTTACTGTTCATAATGCTATGCTCCCAATCGTCTCGCCATACAGTGACCCCTCGTTTAACGAATGCCTCGGTTAGCTTAACTGCCTTCCATAAGGATCTTCAATTCGGTTAACGAACAAAAATTCGGTTAACGAATTTCTTACGAACCTTCCTCAACATGTTTTCGCTTGCACTGATCGGGCAACCAGCTTTAGTATCAGTCTGCCAATACATTAATCGGTTCTAGGGCTTAAATTCCTTACTATTTTAGTAAATATCAAGAAGTTTGTACTATTCAATAATTTTAAAAGTTTAATATTAAATTTTTGTCATTTTAACAATTATTGAACATAATTGAAGGTAAAGTGACTAGTTTAATGCGCTGCATCCAGCCTCTTAACACAGCAAACAGGCATTAGTCTTCTGTTTTCACTGAGGTAACATCTTGCTTGAGACTCTCTTCAACTTAACGCTTTTTTCTGTGTTTCCAAGCAAATTATTGTTCATTTTGAAATATATTTTACATATTGACAATATATAATGCATTGCAGTGTTGATTTAAAGAAAATATTCTTGAAATACACCAAGAGAACTAAAATTTATGGGTGAAATGGTGCCATGAGGTGACTTCTCTTCCAACCCCAATGCCTTCTCTTCTTCCTTCTCCTCCACCCCATTCTAATTCCCATCATCA